TTGCGGGTTTCCTTTGTCTATCGATTCTGAGTCGGTTTATCAGTGTAGCCTTGGTGTGGTCAACCGTTTCCTTTGGTGTTACTGTCGGTGAGCTAGTTCACGTATACATATACGATGTAAACTATCAATATGTCCAGGTTGTTTTGTCCAAGGCTACACTACCGCTGGGAGTGTTGGGGCCACGATTTACTTTTTATGATCCATCATGCAAAAACTTGGAAATCATAGGTCATTTTTGACTGACCACTGTATTGTCCATGCGTGATGACATTTTCGTTCTGTTGGATTATAAAGCCACTTGAGAAACGGTAACAAGGTTACATCAACTGCAATATCCAATAGATCGATGATTTATTCCACTCATTAGAATTTTTGCATATATTTCAACAGTAAAACACAACAAACCGTGGAATTAGATGTGAAAACTACCAATCCGAACTCAGTAACTTGGAATGACGAAAGTCAGGTCTCATTGGGGATAAGGGGGTGACTGGAAATGTGATTACAACTCAACAGTGGATCCGACATGAGAAACCTTTTCGTCCTATTTTTGTTTGCCATAAAAAGATCGATATATCAATAAACCCGAATGACAGATTTTACAGTAGATGTAGTGATTGCGTAAATCGGGATTACCTTGTATTGAGGTGTTTGATTTGGGAAGTTCACGGGTTCCAGAAAGTTCTATGTCTCAGTAGGGATAGTTATGGCAAAAAATGTGAGCAACTTTATCTACGTAATACAGATTCGGACCGGAAATAGTGATACTTTTTGAACTTTCAAAAGTTGTTCGACCTTTGTCCCATCCGTTTGCTATATGACTTCGGGACTGTGATTTAGAATGCTGGACTTTGCATAACTTGCAATATAATTAGATTCGGCAGTAAGTCGACTCATTCTTGTCTTTTATACGTCGCCACTCTATCCCTCCCCCTCTCATTTTCTGGGTCCACACACCTAATCCCGATATTGTATTTCCTGTTCACCCACGTCAGCTTCGTTCACTACGCAAATTAAATCTAGCCCGAAACCAGATAGGCGATTTGTCCCAGGTGACTGACAATTGGCCAAAACTTGAGTACCTTAATGTGAGCTACAATCAGCTCGCGCAATTGCCCTCGGGCATGACACGTCTAACCAGTCTTCGCAAACTGTATGTGAACAACAATCGGTTGACGTTTGCCGGGATTCCATCCGGAATTGGCAAATTGCAAGATTTGGAAATTTTCGATGCATCATACAATGAATTGGAGAATATACCAGAAAGTGAGCGTTTCTAATTGTTGTGGGATTCATATTATTTTTGGTATAGCACTCATAAGCCCCTGGTTGTTCTGAATGGATATTGCAAATAGTAAAATGAGAACGTTAATTTGTCTTGTCTTACACTCATGCATGTGCTTTTGTTTTGGTTGTTTCCTATTTTCCGCTAAACTCTGCATTGTTTTACTTTACTTTACTACGGCTGGATCCTTGGAAAGGATAAACCGGCTCCAAACATGATCATTATCATGAAGTTCCTTGGAAGTATGGTGTGAGAGACATCTGCAGCGTCACTCAGCGTTTTCTGTATTTTGAGGGCGCACCTGTAGCCCTTGCACAACCAAGTGCGAACTGCAAGGCAGCAGGAAGTAATCCCCAGCCTCGGAAGTTAGGGGGTCAATGACTTTAGTTTTAGAAGGTCAGTCACATCGACGTTTGTTACGACACCGTCATTAGGCTCATGTGGCTTTTAAGCAGGAGCCAGGTGACTGGCCTGAAACCCACCACACCGTGGTAGTGCCGCCGCTGTTTGTTCGCGATTGCTTATTTGTTGCGGTATGCTACAACTTATTCACTGCCAACCTTCTATGAAGGTATCCCCTATCCACAACCCGGGGATGCGCCTGGTAGCATCCAGTTCTGCTTAACCCGAGGTTTCTTAGAGTTTCCCAGTGCTACACTAACCAGTGCTTTGTTTCCTAATTTCAATTTAGTAGCCTGTTTTGTCATTGAAGCAAGAATCATCCATAGCTGGCGTTGTTTGTTCGAAGATCAGTTTATGAACCCCCGTCCGGTCTAGAAGAATTACAGTGTTTGCTCAAAGCACCTTGGAAGATAACCAAAGGTAGCAGTCATATTTAAATCATGAAAAGATCAATTACCCCCGGGGGATCCGAACCCACGCACCAGCATCGCCTAAGTTTTGACCCATCGCACGATTGTCAGCTGGTCGCTAGCCTATACCGGTAGCACTAACGTCTTCCTATCTGGATTAATGAATACTATTGAGATACAATCGTATGTTAGCTGGTCGTACTCTGTATCAAAGCGTAGCTCTATCCCAGCGTATGATTTCCAATCACACCGAGGTTGCTAATTTTTCACAGTTCAAACATCGTAGTTATTGCGGTTTTCCCTTCCGGAGTTTCCGTGACTGATTATAAAAATAGGTGCAGTCAGTGT